TTAAAGTGCTTCAAGTGCTGGCACTATGGCCATCTCGCCACCAAATGCATAAGTGAGGTCGATCGGTCCAAGATCTGCGTCAAATGCGCTAAGCCGGGCCACACCATTGCTGCCTGCAAAAAGGAACCCAATTGTGCCCTGTGCACTGAGAAAGGGAACACGAAGAACTGCGCTCATATTGTTGGCAGTACCAGGTGCCCAGTTTATCAGGAGGCGCTACAGAAATTAAACAACAAACGACGATGAAGGTGCTACAGCTCAACCTCAACCATTGCGAGGCCGCACACGACCTGCTCATGCAAACGGTGCGAGCGCTGAGGCCTGACCTGGTTATGATCTCGGAGCCATACCGACATTTTGGCCCCCAATCCTGGATTACTGACGCCAGCAAGAAGACTGTAATCTGGGCTTGTAGAAATCAGCCATTTCAAAGCATCACCGGCGAGGGTGTACATAACGGGTTTGTGAAGGCTAGGGTTGGCGGAATTTACTTCTACAGCTGTTATGCCCCACCGAGCCTCCCCTTGGACGAATTCACTGACTTCCTGGACGAATTGACCGAGGATGCGAAGCGGCACTTTCCCGTGGCAATAGCTGGGGATTTCAACGCCTGGGCAGTTAACTGGGGAAGTAGGGAGACGAATCCCAGAGGGCAAGCCGTACTGGAAGCCATGGTAGCGTTGGACGTGGTTTTGCTGAATAGCGGCGACGAACCGACTTTCATGAGAGGAGATGCGACATCGATTGTGGACCTTACATTCGTGAGCAACACTCTTGCAAAGGAGAACTGCTCATGGAGAGTAACAAACATTGAGACTGCAAGTGACCACTGTGAGATTACGTGGCAGGCAAATATTGGCCAGAGAACCGCCCTAACACCAAAGAAGACCAACGGCATTGGCTGGAGGGTGAGCACTTTTGATTCTAGCTCCTATTCAGCAGCGTTGGACGATCGCCCGATCAGTGGTAGCAATGCCACTGAAAAGGCACAAAATATCATGAGAAGGCTGACGGAAGCCTGCGATGCAACTATGACCAGAAAGCGGGCCACAAACCGGCACCTACCGATGTACTGGTGGAATGAAACCATCGCCACCCTGCGAAAAGAGTGTAATGCAGCTCGGAGACGGTCTCAGCGTGGCCGCAAGAAGTCGAATTCCGAGGAGTTGCAGACAAGATATACGGAAGCACGCCGAAACCTCAGCAAGGCCATCAAGCGCAGTAAAAAGCAATCTTGGAGGGAACTCCTTGCTGAGGTGGAAAGCGATACGTGGGGTAGACCATACAAGGTGGTGATGTCGAGACTAAATAGTCAGCCAATGCTGTCACCAACGTGTCCTGTGCTGTTGAAAAAAATCGTCACGGTGTTGTTCCCGCAACAGCCAGAACTTCATCGCACAGACGAAAAATGGAAAGAGATGATTATTCCACCAATCACCAAGCAAGAACTGATGGAAGCCTGCAATAGGGTGGGTAACACCAAGGCCCCTGGTCTGGATGGAATCCCCAACATCGCCTTGAAGACAGCTATCCACGCGATGCCGGAGATATTTTTGGACGTATACAACGAGTGCCTAAGGGAGGGCTCCTTCCCTGCCATGTGGAAGCAGTAGAGACTTGTACTACTCCCCAAAGGGAAAAAATCTCCGGACGATCCGTCATCATACCGTCCGCTCTGCATGCTCGATACCGCTGGTAAGATCCTCGAGCGTATTGTCCACCAACGTATAGAAACAGCAGTCGAACCCTTGTTGGCGGACAACCAATATGGGTTCCGGAAAGGCCGGTCCACTCTGGATGCGATTAGCCTGGTCATCGACATCGCCAAGAACGCGATCTCAGGAAAGAGATGGCTAAATGGCACGAAGAAGTATTGCTTAGTAGCGACACTAGACATCAAGAATGCTTTCAACTCGGCCAGGTGGGACCGTATCATGGAGGCTCTTGAGAATTTCAATGTACCGGGATACTTGCGGAGAATGGTAGACAGCTACTTCACTGGAAGAGTCCTCAAGTACAGCACGGAGAGTGATCCTGAGGAGTATAGAGTAACCGGAGGAGTACCTCAAGGCTCAGTATTAGGTCCCCTATTGTGGAATATCATGTATGACGGACTGCTGAAACTGGGATTGTTGTGGGAAACTAAACTCGTGGCATTTGCAGACGACGTGGCTGTAGTCATTGTGGGCAAATTCATGGAGCAGATCAATTACACTTTCGACATGACCTTTGAAACGATCCGCTGTTGGATGGACACAGTGGGCCTGAAGCTGGCGGAACACAAGACAGAGGCGGTGTTGATCACCAGCAGAAAGGAAATAGAGACGATATCGCTGCAGGTCGGGTCCTGCGAAATTACCTCCCAGCCGTACATACGATACCTGGGGGTGATGATCGATGCTCGACTCAATTTTAAGCAGCAAACCGAGCACGTGGGTGCCAAGGCGTCTGCAGTCGGATCTACTGTATCGCGCCTCATGCCTAATATCGGTGGTCGTAAGCAGAAAAGACGAGCGCTGCTTTNACTGCTGAAACTGGGATTGTTGTGGGAAACTAAACTCGTGGCATTTGCAGACGACGTGGCTGTAGTCATTGT